GCCCAGGCACAGTGGATCTTTCCCTCGCCCCGTGCCGCGGCCAGCCCGGGCGGGAGCTGCTCCGTTTTCCGTATCCCCCCATCGCTCTGTGTCTTCCCTCACCCTTCTGGAGCGGCCCTGGGGTCCAGCCTGCGCAGGCAGCCGGGCAGGGAGCTCCGGCACCTGCCGCTCGCTGCGAATGGGCTCTTCCAGCTCTCGGATGTTTCCTGTGAGGACGAGAGCTGTGCCTGGAGTGATCTGGGGCTCAGGCTGTAGCTGAGCTTGTGCTTGGCTCGCGCCGGGCCCTGTTTTCTGAGCCTGGCTCTGAACTGTTGCTTTCTCCCTTCTGCAGGTTGACTCCTTCAGGGAGCGGATCACAAGCGAGGTGAGTGTCCCTCTGCTGCTGCCCAGAAGCCGATAGGACAGGAACGAGGCCGTTGGGCCATATCTTTCTGACAGACTTGATTGCGATTTAAGCCTCTCCTGGAAGCTTAGCAGCGCTCGAGAGCTGCAATCACCAAGGGAGGGTGAGGCTGTGTAGCCTCCTGGCTCTCCTGGCATCTTCTCGCCTTGGCTTAGCGTGACGGCCGGCAGCAAGCAGAACTCATGTTCTCTCCTGTTCCCTGCCTTTGGACAGTTGATTTCCCCGGAGTTCTTGCCTGCTAGCGGGAACCTCGCCACGTTGTCTCACGTCGTTGTCTGTTCTTTTTCCCCTCAGGCTGAAGACCTGGTGGCAAACTTTTTCCCAAAGAAGCTGTTAGAACTCGATGGGTTCCTTAAGGTAAGGTATACATTGTCCTCTCTATCCTTTTTCATTTTCAAGCTCCGTGTTGCAAATGACGTGGCAGGTCTCATCCTGTGTATTTTTTCACATGTTTCACCTTCTTACAAAGACATGAACCAGTGGCTCGGTTGCTCGCATGCATTTGAGCCCTGTTAGCTCTAGAGGGGGTGCTTCCTTTTTCAGTTTTCTTTGTGTGATCACCGCGTTTATCTTTCTTGTGTATTCGGCAACTTTGGACCATCCTTCCTGATGCTGTGGTCTCACAGGGACTCCAGCGTCGCAGACAGTGTATAGCTTCGATCACAGTCTGGAGCTGGCGCGCTGTTCTGGGGTGGAGGGAGGTCTGGTCACAGGCCTGTTGTTAGACTGTTTTTTCATTCATCCTTATTTTATGGTTGGATAGGAGCTCGGTCTGAATATTTTGTCTTCTCATTGTGTCTGGTGTGACAGAATTTGTTAGCTCATAATTAAATAACAAATCTGCTTTATTTTCCAGGAGCCTATCCTGAATATTCATGATCTCACTCAGATCCATTCGGACATGAACCTCCCAGTGCCTGACCCAATTCTTCTCACAAACAGCCATGATGGACTGGACGGGGTAAGGTTACCCTCTTGACTTGTGTTCCCTACTTCTGTTAATTAAAGCTGCATGGCTTGCTCTGTGCTGGAGTAGGATATTCTTATTTAATAACAGGCCATGGCTCTCCCAAAGGCTTTAGGAATTGGTCTCTCGAGCCTGGGAAGTCTGCTGGAGGTACCGCTGTGCTCTGCAGTCCTCCTTTGTTTTTAAAGAAGGATGCTTAGAAACCAGGAGTGTAGCAGAGGCTCTGAAGTTTTCCTTATTTCCTTTGCAACACTGTTGTAGCTTACGACTAGTTTGTGAGTAAAACATTTTGTATATTTTAGCCAAATATGAAAAAGAGGAAGCTGGAAGACCGCGAAGAGACCTTTCAGGGTAAGAGTCCCCAAGTCTCTTTGTGTTGCTGCCTGCCCCCTGAAACAGTGCACCGTGCCTTAGGGCTACGAAATCATGTGAACTGCACCTGCCCTGTCCTGACAGCAGCTGCTGCTCGTGCAGGCCTGTCCCCACAACCTCTCAGAGCCTGGCCTACGGATGTTCTGTTGTGGAGGAGTCAGGTTCCAGCCCTCAGAAGCATAACTAGGACTTCTCTGATAAACATAAGCAGTACTTGCTTGAGCTAGGCCTGCTGACAGAGGCAGCTGATCTTCCTGTGGCTCTGTGCTGAAAGCTCTCCTTGTCTGGATGAAAATACCAGGCTTTGGATTAAGCTGAGGCAGAAACAGCTCATACACGTGCCCAGCCTCAGCAGCCTAGAGCTCCTCAGCTCTTGTCTCCGCTCTGTGTTTTCTCTTTTTCTTCCTTTGTGGTAATCACTGTTATCCCAAGTCAAATTTCCCCTTCCCCGCAGGTTAGCTATAGCCTGGCTCAGTGTCCACCACTGGCCTTTGTGGGAGATAAGACGCTCAGGTGGACGTTGGGTCTGATCCCCTGGCGCAGCCATTCCTACATGTGGCTGATGCAAGGTGTTTTTCTCTGCCGCTAGGTACCAAAGTGTTCATGATGCCCAATGGGATGCTGAAGAGCAACCAGCAGCTGGTGGACATCATTGAGAAAGTGAAACCAGAAATCAGGCTGCTTATTGAGAAGTGTAATACGGTGGGTATGAGCGCTGGAGCAAGTGGAGGCAGTAGGATGCTTTTGCTCCTGGAGAGGCAAAGCTGCTCTGAGTGGAAGGGGCAGGCCCCTCTCTATTCTGTAGATGAGGAAAGGCGGGATTTGTTTTACAGAGTCTAAAAGTGGCTGGGGGGGTGGGGTAGGGGAATAATGTTTTTTCGAGCCCTCGGGGGGCTCTGTAGCTCAACTCCTGACGGAGGATGATGTCTGTTATGCAGGCTCCTTCCTTGAGGCTTTTCTTCACCCTCCTTTTGCACAGTCACAGACACCTGCTGAGAGCTTCTGTGGCACAGTCAGGAGAGCTTCCCATGGGAAGCTGTGCTTATGCTGGCTTGTGTGGCGTCCCAGCTATATGGGAAATGATCTCCTTGGAAGTGTTGCATGAGTATGAAGGACCTGCAGTTTATCATGAACGGCAAAGGCAGGGTCCTGGGGGGCTTTTGGTAAAACTTTTGAGAGAGGTCCCTGCGGAGGTGTTGACGTTGATCAGTGGTGTGATCTTTCCACCGCAGGTGAAAATGTGGGTTCAGCTTCTCATCCCCAGGATAGAAGATGGAAACAACTTTGGTGTTTCTATTCAGGTAAGGCACCGCTGGCTCTATGCCCTGCTGTAGGAGAGAGCTGTGCTGCGGGGGTGCGGATCTCTCTGGTTCCTCCGAATCCAGTCCAGCAGCTGCAGTCATGGCGTTTTTAAAACCCAAACCTGAGCTTGACATGGTGCTGCTGGGACGTGTTGCTTTTGGAGCCCTGAAGGCCAGCTGCCGTCTCATGAAGCTAACAGCTTCCTTGTCTTCCCCGCAGGAGGAAACAGTTGCTGAACTTCGAACTGTGGAGAGTGAGGCAGCATCCTACCTGGACCAGATTTCTAGGTAGGCGTGCAAGAACAGGTCTTGTTTTTTGGGATCCTCTTGGGAAAAGTGAAGTTCTTGGGAAAGGTCCCCCAGCTTTTCTAGGGCAGCTTGGGCCTGAAAAGAATCTTGATGCTATTTACTGACTTTAAGTGTCTCCCTTTTCCTACCAGATATTATATCACAAGAGCAAAGTTGGTTTCCAAAATAGCTAAGTACCCTCACGTGGTAAGTAAACGGGGAAGTGGAGATTTACGTGTTACGTGCTGCTGCTTTTTGGGACTCTCTGGGCCACTTCATCACTGTCCCTTCTGAGCTGAGGGTCCTGAGGGAAAAGGGGGGATTGTACAAGGATGCAGGACATCTGTGTTAGAGGAGAGCAAGCTGAAGGGGGGGTTCCTTTGTAAAAGGTAGAACCTTCACTTGGTGTGTGGGAGGCACAGCTGAGCTCAGGCCACTCAGCCATGCGTCTGCTCTCTGTAGGAGGACTACCGCCGCACAGTGACAGAGATCGATGAGAAGGAGTACATTAGTCTGCGCCTGATCATTTCAGAGCTGAGGAATCAATATGTAAGTGAAAAACCGGAGCTCGCACTGGCTCCCTGCATGGCAGTGGACAGAGCCTTTTTGACCCTGGTGCTGCTCTCCCCTTGCCCTGCAAGTACGCTGAGTCCTGGTGAGAAGCCTGTCTCCTCCCCAATCTACTTTGGCTCTAACGAGAGGAGCCGACTGGTACCTCTCCACCATCTCCTAGAGATGCAGATGTTTCCAACTGAGCGTTCACAGGAGCCTAGCACAAAATACTCCTTCCACATCTGTGGGAGCCTGCGATCCTAAGCTCTTCATGCAGTACAGGCCATTCCTGGGTCTGTAAAGAAAGCTTTTCTTTTTGGTGTTACATGCAGTGGCTTTTGTAAAGTCTGGCTGAAAGAAGCCCTTGCCTTAATCAGCTGTGTGATTGCACGCAGGGGTTGAGGTTGGTGCCAGGGTGAGCTGTGCTGCTCTTTTAACCAGTGCTCGTTGTGAAAGGTGAACACTGGATGCCTTCATCCTTCTTGTCTGAGTCCTGTTCTCCCTTTTTGCAGGTCACTTTGCATGACATGATCCTTAAAAACATTGAGAAGATCAAGAGGCCTCGGAGCAGCAATGCTGAGACCCTCTATTAAGTGTCAACGTTTGAACTTGAGAACTGTTCAGTCAACTAAAGACCGTCATTGCCTTGGTTTGTTACGTGACTATCGAGATGGGAAACTGGCTGGAAATAGTATCGCATTCTTAGTTAAAATCTAAAGAAATTCTCGCCTAGTTTTGTGATTGGTTTTGTTCAGGTCTCAGGAGCTCTCCCTCCCTCTAGTAACTGGTAAAGAGAAGGCCGTGCTGCTTTGGGGTGCCCTAGAGGCTACTGCAGAGTGAGAGCACCAGCCAGGCAGGAACATTCCTTCATGCCTTTCTTCCTACCCAAGTAGGAACGACTCTAGAGACCAAGCCCTCGTCCTGTCCCATCTCTTGGCTGGAGGCTTCGCTGGGGTCTCTGGGAAGGGGGCAGACAGTCTTCAGCACGAGAGCAAGCCCAGGTGGTGGTGCAGTGGTGGAGAAGCTCACTCTCTTCACTGCTGGCTGTAGCTGGGCCCCTCTGCCACTGGTCCTCTGCACTGACCAATTGCAAAGACAGGGGAACCTGCCCCTTCTGGGCTGGTGGCAGCAGCCGCGCTCCAATGCCGCTGAGCGGTCTGCGCTCCTTATCTGGCTCTCTTCTGACTCAGCAGAGCCTGCCCCATCTGCCTCTGCCTTGTCAGTTCTGGCTGGATCAGTGCAGAGCACGAGGTGGTGCTTGAAAGTAGGGCTGGTTGCTCTCCTGGCTGGGCCTGAGCTCAGGTGGCTCCTGCTCCTGTTTGCGATCTGACTTGAACCGCTTTCTTGGCTAAACCCAACGTTACTTCACATACGTCCTAGTGCCCCTTCAGCACGAGGTGGTTTTGCCCAGGCTGAGAGAAGGGAGGGGCCGGAGGTCTGATACTAAAGTCCTGATAGTCTCTGCATGTGGTCAGACTGAGACCCGCTGTCTCCTGGCAGCGCTCCCCGCTGCCTGGGCAGAGCGTGCCAGCTGCGACAGTTGGTGTTTGGGGGTGAGGATGGCCGATACCCACCCGGTACCATTGCAGACCTTGTAGTCTTTCCCCTGCAAAGGGCACGCTCGTGTGCCTGGTGACTCCTCTAAGCCGCTGGAACGTTTCATGGTCCATTACAAACCCCTTTGGAAATGACTGGTTGTGTTGCGTCAGTTTTTGTGTGTGGCAAGTGGGCCCATAACGCTGCAGGCTCCAAAATTTTCTTATTTATAGTATTTCTACTTAAGTCCCTTATTCAGGGAACTTTAAATCATTCGTTTCAGGAACCTTGCTGTTTCCCGGGTCTTGCTGTTACACCCCTATATTCTTATTGTGCAGTAGCCTTAATAGTTGTGTTAACCTCATTGTAACAACAGTGACAAATGGAATGAACTTTCTCCCCTTCTTTTTTTTACTTTGTTTCCGTTTCTTCTGCTTCCCCATCTAAGAGCCATGTTGTCTCTTGCTGGTTTCCCAGGGATTTGCCCGGAGTGTGGAGGGCTGCTGGCCCTTGCTATAGACTCTTCTGTTGTTGTTTGTAGTAAGTCAACTCTTAGTCTTCCCGCTAATAAATATTCAGTAACAAACCAACTGCGTTCTCGCTGCTGTCTGGGAGCAGCACTTCCCCTTGTGTTTCTTTGTATTGATTCCTTTTAATTTGTTCGGCTCTCTTTGCCAGATGAAAGTATGTAAACTTTTACCATGTCGAGAAATTAAAATAAGGTACTTGGAATTCTTTTAAGGTAGCCCCTTGTGTGTGATACTGAGCTCTTAGGCTATGCAGTGTTCATGTCTGTCCTGGTCCTGCCTTTCTTGAATCCAGTTGTTCCTTCCCTGCATTCTCCTCATTCCTCTTTTTGACTCTGTTGTAAACTGCTATGCACTGCTTTGTAGGTTGTTTCTGTTTCCTTTAGCATGCCTTACGTTAGGCCCATGGTCTTGAGTTTAATGTGATCTGTCCCATCTCAAGCCAGTGTGCGGGGCTTGGGCCGTCTCAGTTAAAACAGACACAAGAGATTTGTGTGGCGTTTCTCTACGAGTCGGCAGCCTTGCTCCGTGGCTGCTCCTGCACCTCTGCCAAGCAGGTGCCCACAGTGCTGTCCTGGGTGGGCACCTGGTGCCTGTGTTCGGTGCATGGTCCCTTACTCTCTTGGCTGCTCCATGTATGTGGTACCAAAGGAAATGCAGGCTGCCCTGCAATCCCCCGGCTGAAGCGTCCTCTGCTCTCCCCAGGGGATCGTCCTTGTTCTTGTTGTGCATCCTCCTGTGCCTGCTGCACCATAGCCTGGGGTGCAGAGACCTCTCCAGCAGCACTCCTGTCCCCCAAGAGCTCAGTGCCTGGCTGGGGCTTGGCCACCCTTCCCAGCCGGGGTGCCACTAGGTTGTGCCACTGCCCAACCCCCAC